ATTCTGCTGTTTCGCAAACATATTGCAACATCTTTTTCTAATTGTAGTAAATTCCTCTTTTTCAATTATTTCGCGTATAGTGCGTTAAAAAAAAAAAAAAAAAAAAAAAATCACCCGGAAACCTAGTTTCACCTTGGCTTTTTGGCAATCGTTTAGTATCCTTATTTTCTTGGATTCCAATCAACAATTAATCTGCTGTATGGGGCTGCTCTGCTGACGTATACACGTCATCGAAGCAGAGACAGCCCAGAATTTTTCTTCTTTGCTTGATTTTGCAAGTCATCTTATCTCACGTAAATGAATGCTGATGAAGACTCGGCCGCTCTCGGAGCAGCTGAGGAAGTAGTCAATAAGCTGCCGAAGTACGTGGAGATGAGAAAAATTTCTGGTAAATCACCTTCGGAGCTGAGAGCAAAAATAACCAAGGACTTGCATATGTCAATGGGAAAACCATACTTAAAGCCGTCAAGCTCAACCAGTAACTGGATTGCCTCAACCACTTGTACATCGACTACAAGTACCCTAACGTTCTCTGTGGTGAACTCTCAATCAATGTATACTACAGTAGCGACATCAAATGGCAGTTTGTGCTCCACACCCGCCGTTGTGAGTACACCGGCTTCAATCACAAACTTAGTTGCAAATCCAACTCTGGACAAATTTTGCTCGTTTCAAATGTCAGTACCCGGTATTAATAGGAAGCGGAAAGGAGCCGTCGAGTCACTAAAATCGGCTCAAAAAAATAAGCCAACTCCTGTCAATACAACCCAGGGACAACGAACTGCGTCCTCCTCTCCGGCAGCGCTTCAAAATAATAGATTTGCAGCCCTTTCGGAAGAAGCTGATTCCATTATGGAAATGGAAGAGCCAGATTCCGAAGATCCATCGAGCCAGCAAAATGAAGCCAGCCGTTTCCAGCAGGGAAGTAGTATTCCTAAGCCTCCTGCTATATGTGTGCCACAAGTTAACAAATTGGATAAGCTGGAGGTGGCGCTCAATTCTGCTGTCTCCCCTGACGATTACGACATACGCACATCGAAATCTGGGATCTCGCGTATTTATACGAAGAATTCGAATGCGTTTCGTGCAATAATCAAATTATTGTCCAATCAAAATTGTCAATTCTGGCACCACCAGTTGAAGGAGAACAAACCCTGCAGATTGGTGCTCAGAGATATTCATCCCAATGTACCCAGGCAATTAATAGAGCGCACCTTTACCGACAAGGGCTTTACAGTTTTGAATATATATTGCCCCAGAAAACCGGACTGGCGTAACATTCAAATTAATGAGGAGGATGGTGAGGACATAAATAATGTCAAAACAAGACAAAATATGTTTTACGTTAACCTCCAGAACGCACCCAACGTTGCTGAGGCACTAAAAATAACTCAAATTGGTAGACACAGGGTTACAATATCAAAGGCCAAACAGAGTAAAGAGCTGGTACAATGCTTCAGATGCCAAGATTTCGGGCACACGAGGAACTATTGCCTTAAAAAGCCGGTTTGCGGTAAATGCTCGGGGGACCATGATACTGGCTCAAAATCATGTAACCTGAATGATAATGGGGAATTTATATGCGCTAATTGCGGCGAAGACCACATGTCGAGCTTCAGAGGCTGCAAGGTAAGAATTGATCTAGCCAAAAAACTTAAGCCAGCTGTGAGGTTGCCGAGAGATGGTCTAGTCATCGGTAGCAATAGGAGTTACCCAAACAACCAAGGCAATAAAGTACAGTTCATCTCAAGCTCTGCTGTTAAGAGTGGCTTCTCTTACGCTGATGCAGCAAGGCCAATTGAAGGAAAGCGTACCATCGCGCCAACAAACCAAAACTCGCCTCGGGCACACATTTCCGCTGAAGATTGGCATCTAAACAATAAATTTAGTATGCTGGAAAAGGCGATTTTTGATCTAAACGCAAGAATGGATCAAATGTATAAGCTCATTCAGGAAAATATGGATTCCAATAGAGCCTTCCGTGACTTGGTACAAAAACTAATATCCAAATGTTAAATCCGCTGTTAAAAATCGGATTATGGAACGCACGGGGCCTGGTCAAAAACAATGATGAACTCAGGCTTTTCCTAAGTTCAAACTTGATCGATATCATGTTAATAACCGAAACGCATATGCGTCCTGGCTTGAACGCATATTTGCCAGGATACGACCAGTACTACGCTAATCATCCCAGTGGCACCGCTAAAAGTGGTTCTGCAGTCATCATTAGATCAAGTATCGCTCATTCACAGAATGAGCCAATTCTAAAAACAAGCATCCAAGCGGCCAGCGTAACTATACCGACGAATGGTGGAAGCATCAAAGTCTCCTCCCTATATCTTCCTCCCAATGAAGCTTGGTGCAGGGCCGACTTTGATCTATTGCTTGCAACCTTAGGAGATAAGTTTATTGTAGGCGGTGATTTTAATGCAAAACACCAATGGTGGGGTAATTCCAGATCTTGCAGGCGAGGAAGGTGTTTGCAAGAGGCCATAGCTAGTACTACTTGCCAAGTTCTTGCTACTGGAGAGCCAACTTTCTACTCTTACAACACACGGCTTAACCCCTCTGCACTAGACTTCTTTATTGTCAACAGGATTGCCCTAAACAGACTCACCGTTGAAACAAAATATGAGCTCGCATCGGATCACCTTCCAGTAGTAGCGACGCTACATCATGCACCGCAATATAATCCCAAGAGGGAATATATTCTACCACCTGGCTCCCGTATTGATGTTTTTAAAGCCGATCTCGAAAGAAGAATTAACCTGAACGTCGAAATTAACAGCCCAGAGGATATCGAAGACGCGATATCAATCCTCATGAAGAACATTTCACTGGCTGCGTCTTCTGCTGCACCGAAAACTTTACGCTTGCCAACCCAACATAGTCAAGCTAGTCTACCACCAACGGCTGCTGCGCTCTTAAGCCTGAAAAGAAGAGTCAGGAAAGAATATGCAAGAACTGGAGATACTCGCATTCATCAAATCTACAAAAGACTGTCCAATCGACTGCAAAAAGAGCTTGCTAAAATCAGACAAGGCAGAATTGATGACATATTGGAAAGTGCTGGTCCAGATGCATCATTTAATTACTCGCTCTGGAAGCTTACGAGGCGATTCAAGAGGCTGGTCATCCCTAAGACTCCAATTAAGGATCCTTCAGGTGGATGGAGCTATTCCAGTCAGCAGAAAGCTGAAATCTTTGCAAACAGCCTAGAGGAAAGATTCAAGCCTTTTGACTTTACATCAGCAGATAGGCGAAGGGTAGTCGAGCTTAGGCTGGAGATGCCATTCCAAATGGCCTTGCCTGCAAGCCCAGTTACACTGCAAGAAGTGGTACAGCAGATAAAAAATCTAAAGGTCAAAAAAGCGCCTGGAGAAGACCTTTTAGACAACAGGACGCTGAAACTGCTCCCCACAAGGGCTCTGCTGTATATTGTTTTGCTCATGAATAACATACTCAGGCTGAGGCACTTTCCAAACTGCTGGAAAATGGCGCTAATTACGATGATTCCAAAGCCAGAGAAACAGCATACTGAAGTAGATGGATATAGGCCGATTAGTCTGCTACCTGCCCTCGGGAAGATGATGGAACGCGTGATTCTGGACCGGATTCTCCAGCTCGAAGCCGTGACGCGCAGAATTCCAAAATGGCAATTTGGATTTCGAAGAAGTCACGGAACACCGGAACAGCTCCACCGTGTGGTCAACTTCGCCCTGGAAGCCATGGAGCAAAAGATGTACTCAGTGGCTGTGTTTATGGATATTAAACAAGCTTTTGATAGAGTGTGGCATGATGGTCTCCTCTGCAAATTGAAAGGCATACTAACTCCTCAATTGTTTCAACTCATCGAAAGCTTTCTAAGGGACAGAAGCTTCAGAGTTGCTGTTGATGGAGTGAAATCCACGAGGCGCTCAATTTGTGCAGGAGTGCCCCAAGGCAGTGTTCTCGGTCCTACCCTGTATACATTATTTACTGCTGATATGCCTGCACCGCAAGAGATCCTTGGAGTAGACGAGAATGACGCACTAATAGCTACTTACGCAGACGACACTGCGGTGCTTACCAGATGCAGAGATATCGATGTAGCTTCGGAAGCCTTACAGCAGTATGTAAGTAGTTTCGAGAAGTGGGCTCTGAATTGGAACATTGGTATCAACGCCAGCAAGTGTGCGAATGTCACATTTACAACAAGGCCGTCGTCATGCGGAGATATCACAATGTTGGGGTCCACGCTCAGTCATACAAATTCGCACAAATATCTTGGTGTCATTCTGGACAGAAGACTCAACTTCAGCAAGCATACAACAATGGTCAAGCGATCGGTCATGGCAAAAGCCGGAAAGATGGCATGGCTGCTTGCACCCTGCAACAAGCTGTCTCTGCACAGTAAGGTGACAGTATACAAGTCCATATTAAGTCCAATATGGAAGTATGCGCTACCAATTTATGGCATTGCCGCTGCATCGAACCTAAATAAAATAAGAGTTGCGCAAGCTAAAATACTCAGAAAAATATGAAACGCTCCCTGGTATATGCGCACTAGGGACATCGAAAGAGACTTATGTGTCCCCAAGGTTGGCGATGTCATTCAAATGCACGCAAGCAATTACGAGAAGCGACTCGGCAGTCACCCCAACGCACTAGCGAGGCGGCTCCTGTCCAAACCTAAGAAGAGAAGATTGAAGAAGTGCCATCCAAAGGATCTCCCCACAAGATCCCTTGTATAAAATATATAATATATATCATAAAATATAATTTCATTTCTAATGTAAAACATTGTAAATATTGTATATATGTACATAGATATAAGTGCGTCCTATAGATGCTTACTATAGACAACTTTTGTATTCCCTAACTTTCAACTAGCTTAAGCTGCCATATTGGTAGTAGAAAACTAGTTTAATAAATTGTATATATGTAAAAAACATCTTTTTCTGAGATTCTCTTCGTTCATCACCTGTATTTATTTACAATATTGTATTTATTTATTGCAGACCTGCTACGAACTGGAACGTTATTTGCGCGACGAGCCCAAATTGCAGACCTACAAGAAGAAGATGCAGAGTGATTTGGACACAGCCTGGGACAAATTCTACACACCTGCACGCATTTTCGAAGAGTTAAAGATAAAGGAACAGCACTTGGACACGATCTCCACGACTTCGTCGGTGTCGTCGAATTGCTCGGGCATCTCATGGGACAGCAATGGCTCGCAAGCACTCAGCTGCTCGGTGCTGGTCAAGCAGGAGCGCATCGATGAGGACGACGAGGATGCCGCACACTCAGATGATGACAAGCTAGGTGCACTCTTTGCCGCACCACCCTCCGCCATATCGCCAAATCCCAGCATCAGCAGTGCCGGCAACATGACGCCGACCAGTAGCAGCAGCAGCATCAGCAGCGGCGGTGGTGGGGTCAGCAGCAACATACCGCTGAGTCCTGCCAGCTGCTCCTCACCAGCTATTAAAGTCCGCGTGCTACAGGCCAAGAGCCAGTTGGGCAATGCACGATACAATGGCCAAGGCCTGAGCGTGCATGACTTTGTGCTTCCCACACTGACGCCACCCTCCTCCCCCGAATCCAGCCTGCGCAGCACCAATAACTATGCACAGCAACAGCAGCAGCAACTGCATCAGCCACAGCCAACGCCACAGCAGATCGATGCCAACGAATTGGCCGCTCTAATACAACAACAACAGCAGCACCAACAACAGCAGCAGCAGCAGCAACGTATCGGCCAACAGCCACAGCAGCAAGCAGCACAGCACTCAACGCCCACAACCGCCATTCTGCGCTTCACCAGCCAACTGCCCAGCGCTGGCCCTGCCAAGAATCCCACACTGACACAGGCCACCACGCTGCAGTTGCAACAGCAGCAGCAACAGTTGGCCGTGCAACATCTGAGCGTATGTCCGCAAACACTTTCGGCAAACAACAGCACCTCGGCAACGGCAACAGCAACAGCAGCAGCAGCAACAACAACGGCCACACCCGTCACACAACACAGCAACATTCCGCGGAGCACCATAGTCCGTCTGACCACGGCGAATGGCAAGACTAGCGCCGCCGGCATCAGTCTGGCCCGTGTCCTACAAATGCAGAACAATGGCAATGCCAATGTGGCCGCCGTTCTCAGTGCAGCGGCCAGCGGCAATGTTGTCCAGCAACAGCAACAACAACAGCAGCAATCGCAGCCGGCATCACAGCAGCCACAACAGCCGCCACAGCAACAACAACCAATTGTTGCTACCATGACTCCAGTGGCAACGCCGCGAGCTGACAAATCCACAACTGGTACGTACAAGAACATATTGACACGCCGAACTGTTTAATTTTTAGTCAGTTCGCTCATGCTGTTGCCGATATTTGAATGATAGGCAAATGAATTGCACACAAATACGTCAAATTCATGTCCATGTGGTATAGGTTTTTAGTAGGGAACAATTTTATTTTTAGCTTAGCTTCATTTACACAATTAAGATAAATTTGTATTTATTTTCCGATCTCAACAAATATATTTACAGCCTGATTATCAATCACCTAAGCCACTTGGTCCAGACCTTTCAGTTTAGAGGCACTCAAATAGTCCCCTGACTTATGCTTGTAGCCAACAAGTAAACTCAAAATTACAAGATTGTTCAAGATGTTACCATCACCTTTTATACTTTTTATCAGCGATCAGTGCAGTGTACCCTTTAATGAAATGAAATATAAAACTTAATTATTCTTTATAACCAGTAACAACTTTTAAAGTCCAAAAAAATTTTCGGCATTCTGACCGGTGACAACTTTGCTGTCTGAAGTTAAAGATCCCCAGTATTGAAAATAGAATATGGTGATATTCAAAATTAAAACAGAAATCAATTAGACGTATGACGAGTAGACATCTTTGATAAAGCAAAGCTGACTTCTAGGCGCCGAATGTGTAGATTGTTCCATTTTTTATTTCACTTCGAGTAGGCTACATATGTATGTTTCTTTAAGCCTGGCTAAGCCTTAATTAAATTTGTAAAATGTTTAACCCCCACTTAAAAGTTCGCTTCGGCTTTCAAATCTCTTTTGTAGCGTCTGCCAAAAATCACCCGCGCCAACATAACGAGCACAGCCCGGACGCCAAACGTCGGATACACAAGTGCCAATTTCTGGGTTGCAAAAAAGTCTACACGAAGAGTTCGCATCTGAAGGCGCACCAAAGAACGCACACAGGTGAGTGGACAGGGGCTGTTATTGTGCATGTGTCTGGCATTTTGAAGAGCAATGCCAGTGTTGAAAAATTGTCAAACGATTGCCGTGTACTGGAAGTGGGTGGAGGGGGAGGGGGGAGGGAGAAGGGAGAAGAGGTATCCACTGGAGACAAAAACACACGAAGGCACACCGCACTTCGGCGATGTTTTGTGCGATTAATAAATCAGGCATGAGCAACGACCGTTGGCCAACAGACCGAAGGACAGACATACCTGCGCCTGGCACCACCGACCCACCTGTACGTGTATGTGTGTTTAAAGAGGTGGCCGGTGTGGGCAGAAGTGACAGGTTGCATTGTTTTGCTGACACTGCTCACTCGGGCGCATTCAGAAAACATGAAGAGTCAAGTGCTCGGCCGGCAACCAAATCCCGAATGCACGTCAGCGGGCAGGGCTTGAAATTTCAATAAAAATCGCATAATTCAAAAATGAAATATTGGTCACACGCACACCATTGCGATCGCAAGCACAAAACACACACAAACGTGCTAACACCGCACATGGTTGTGAAATGAAATTTTATTACAGCACATTCAACATCAGAGATTTTGGTTCATTCATTCAATGGAACGCGGCAATGGACGGACGGATGTATTGATTTGTGTCATGCGCGCTGTTGGCCAAACTATGAATTTGTGTGTGCGTGTGCATGGGTGTGTGTGTGTGTGTATGCGCTTACAAGAGCTTTGCCAAAAACACTTAACCCATAAAACAGAAAACCAAAATCCATTTTGCATTCAATTCTCCTTTTGTGCAGAGGCCCAAAAATATTTGCAGTTGTTGAAATGTGTGCTCATGCAGTTATATTTTGGATTATGTTTAGAGAGGCGGGGCACGGTAAACATCTACTATATGCGTGCGTGTATATGCGAGAGTGTGTGTGTGTGTGTGTCTGTTTGTGTGAATCATGTAAGTTGAGCTCTAAATTTTGTCGGATGGCAAATGAAATGATTTGGCACTCGGAAAAGTGCAATCAAGCTTGAAACATTTTTGGCCATCTTTGGCATTATTGCCAAGTGCAGACCTAGTCCTCTATATCTGTATATACTTGTATGTGTGCATGCCTAAGCATTTACCACTGGCCATTGTGCTTGTGTCTAAGACAACAAGCAACAAGCTGGCCAAGTGAACCGTTCTTGGCCAACAATTGCCATTTCTTTGTTTGTTTGTTTGTTTATTTATTTGTTTATTTATGCAAGCAAGTGTTGTCATGTGTCTGTTTGAGATTGCCATTCGGTTGTTGTATTTAAATTTGCTCTTTGCCTGTAATACCAAATGAATTGCAAAGCGCAAATGTGTAGCCTGCTCGTACATGTCTGTTTGTGTGAGTTTTCGTTTTTCCTGCTAACCCTTTTTTGGGTTGCCTTTCTTCGACCACACTTTCACTTGATGCCCACATGCCACACACAATCAAGCAGAGCCATCAACTTCCTCATTCATACTTGCCATATGTAAATGGAAACTGTTCTCGTGTAGCACACACGTGCGCCGACTTTGGAATTTACAGTGTGTAGCTATTTTGGCTGAAGGGGTTCAATCAGCGTTAGCTTCCCGACCCCTGTTCTACAATCATTTTCCATTAATTTCATCATTTTAATTAACATTCAATTTGCTCAAAATTGTTGCCGCCGGCTGGCAGGCGGGCATGCGGACAGGCGGACAGGCGGGCGTGTTGTGCTTTTGTTAAATTGTTTGTTTTCAAACAACAACAGAAACAGCTCAATAAAAATCCATGGCAGGCACAAGTTTCGCTCATAATTTTCGGTTTATCTTTGGCGCATAAAAAACTTTCAAGTAAAATCGACAAAGAAAATTGAAAACCCTTGTAGGCGCAATTCTATAGCTCACACAGTGAGTGCAACTTTCCAACAAGGCTCCAATCAAGCGGGGCCTCCTTAGGCCCTTTTGTTGTGCTTACTCTGTGTTGTGTTGTGTTTGTCTACCATATTGGCCCATCGAGGCAGGCGCCGACGCGTGAAGTGTTAATTTGGTAGGACAAAGTTTTTGAGCAAGTTCTTGACTTAACTGTGCCTACAACTGCCGTGTCAGTTTGTGTGGTGGAGAGGGGGCATCCCTCTTTTTATGCAAATTTAAACTGATAAAAATTCGTAATTAATTGCACATGTGGAGGGAGTTTTTCGCAATATACTTACGATCATTGCGGCGTCCAGTGGCAACTCAATAAATCAAAGGAAAAGGTGTTCGAGCGATAAGATTGAAATATTTGATTACGTCCTGCCCGGTACGGCTGAAAAGCTAAAATGGAAATTCCAGCCATAGCCGCCAACAGACGTCGAGCAGCAAAAACCAATTACTTTAATGACACCATGGAGACCGTAGGGGCGAGGATGTGGAAAGGCCAGCGTGCGGACGTCGGCTACAAATTAAGAAAATTTAATGAATTACGTTTTTCGCATAAAATTAAGGCAAAATTTCATTAAGACTCGCCCGAGCGCCACAACGCTTTAATATTATCGCATTAAAAACGAAGACGTTGGCCAGTCGGAAAGAAATGAGAAAAAAACAAAAATAATTTATTGCAAGCAATTTTTCAAATTTATACAAACAAGCACAAGTGCAAAGAAATGCCCAACATCCTTGAACTACTACTCTACTTATCCTTGACTTTGCCCCATAATGCCGGCCCGTCAATCCACAAGACAGGAGTGCAAATATAGACAATCTCTCAGCCTGAGAGAGTTGGATGCAGGCGCTCTAATCTGATTTTGCACATTTCCGGCATTCATGGCGTTTCCTCTTGTGACTGGCATTTCAGTTTGCAGGGGCGACCTGGTCACATTTAATTAGAAATCAAATTAAGCACTCTCCTTGCATATTTTATAATTGAATGCCTATCAATTAAAGCGGCAAGCAGCAGCCAAGCAGCAAGCGAGAGCGCCAATAGCTGCGAGTATGCTCGTAAATTCCGCCATCGATGCAATTGGGGAGCAGCGCAGACATGTGAGCGCTGAACAGCGAGGCTAGACAGCGCGTAAGATTTCAATTAGTTAAACGCAGTGTTGTTGGTGGCTATAAAAATGCCGAGGATGCATGCGAAACCGTTAAGAAAAGATTACAAGTGCAATCAGGCGGAAAGACGCAAACAGACCATAAAAATTGTGTGTTGAGTGCAAAAGCCGAGAAGGCAGCAAATAAAAGACAAGAAAGAGCAAGAAATTGAAATGAAAAGAACAAACCGGAAGGAGTGAGTGTACCAGCTCAAGCAATGAAAGGAATGCCCAACGTTCGACCCTCCAACTCTACACGTTCTATTGCGGCAGCCGCTTGCTGGCGAAATTAAAACCAACGCCAGAGAAATTTATAAAATATTAACTGGCTGCTCAGCCTGGCTGTCTGCTCGCGGCTGCCTGCGGACTGTAAACCGCTGCTGCCTGCTGCTTATTGCCTTTAAACAATTTACAAGTGCAAACTTTATGGCTTATACGGGCTTGCCTGCCCTGCCTGCTGCTACGTAGTATGTATGCGAGTGTATGGCTGTGTGGGTGTGTGGGTGTGTAGGTGTGTGGGTGTGTGGGTGTGTGCAGCTATCAATATGTAGACAAACGGCTGAGGTTAAGTTTTAACTGCATTCTACTCAATAAATTAAAAGGCGCGCTCCAGTCGACCTCAAGCACATGGCGTCGCCAGCGTTTTTATGCTCTTCATGTTGCAATGTCTACGGCTCGTTTGCTTCCCCACCTTCTTTGCCACTTTAATGGCCCCAACCTGGTCTCTAACGGCGAACCAAACCAAGCAAAATGCAATGTCGGTGACGGTGCCAAAATAAAAAAAAGCACACATAGTAAGAAAAATGTTAAAATACTTAACCCAGTTGCAAATTGCAGTTGCCTGCTGTTGTTGTTCCTGTTGTTTTTTTCTCGTGAGCTATTAATTTTGGTCTGGCAAAAATGATGGGCGAATTTTTGCTTTTTGGTCTGGGGCTCGATGGAGCCTCATTGGCTGGCTGCTAACAATGTCAATGTGTAAAGGGTAGCGGGAAATTAATTAAAAAATCGTAAAGGAGTTCCCATTCTTTTGACTTTCGGCTACATATAAATGTAGCATACTTTTGTGCGTCGGCTGACTTCGCTTCGATTCATTTCGTTTGCGCTACTGACTTTTACTTGGCTTTGAATGGCAAGATAACACGAACCTTTTGTGTACAAATACACGCACAAAGTACATACACACACACTCGTATGTGTCTGCTTTATCGTCCGCCTCAGCTCAACTGGCTCTGCGCCGCTCAAATGCACTTCAATACGAGACTCCTGGGTCGTATCTGGCCTGCACTTTGTGCATTTGACGCTGATTTACACAGCCAGCCGTAAAAGAGCAAAAATGGCCAAAATTGCCAAACGCTTGCCCCCGTTACACCCATTCCCCTTGACTAACTGCTTCATCTCACTGTGGTTAGCTGTACGGCTTTATCTCTCTTTATTTTTGTTTCCCTTTACCGCTCTGTGTGTGTTTTTCGGGCAGCCTTTTATTTATTGCCACTGCTTCGATTTCTCTAGCGCCCAGTTCTGACAAAATGCCAAAGTGCAAGTGGCAGTCACATGCTGCCATGATTTGCAAATCGATGATGCCACCCAACTCCCCCTATAACACCCACTCACCCATACACATCCATCCCTTCAAAACATTTAAGCCGGCCAGCCAAAAGTTGTCCGCTCACTGACAGCATAAACAAATGGAAATTAAAAGCATAGCCAACTTGCCAAGTCGGTGGGGCCAGTGATCGTCCTGTCGACCCTGGACCGTGGGCCCTGGGCCGTGGGCTGTGGGCTGTGGGCCGTGCAACCGCAAGTAATGTGAAATTGAGCACGGAAATATCACACATTTCCGCATGCATTAAGTTTTAAGCTCTGCGTGTGTGTATGTATGTGTGTGTGCGTGTGCGTGTGTTTGTGTGCGTTACAAAGTTTTCCACTCAGCTTTATGCATTTTTCTCGAGCTGTCGTCATTTTCTTGCCGGTTATCTCTCTCTCTCGCTCTCTCTCTCTCAACGGCAACAATTTCCTGCCTTGGCTGCTGTTTGTCTTTTAAACTCAAATAATTTTACCAGTTTTTTTAAATTTCATTTTATTTCTTTCTTCTGTTTTTTTCTTCTCGTATTCAACTGCTCCGCCCCGTTCTGTTTCTCATTGCTCTGTGCTGGCTCGGCTATGTTCTGGCGTGTTCCTCTTTCACATTTTTAGGTTTTATGCTTTTGTGTGAAATTACAACTTCTGCATTTCCTTTTCCTTTCGGCTGGCTGGCTGGCTGGCTGCCTGCTTGCCTGTCCGGTGCTTCCCTGCACTCGCCTGCTTCCCTGTTTGGCTTTCAGCGCTTTGGCCAGCTACACGCGTTCCACAACGTCCCGCCCCACCATGTCCTGCCACCGCTGCCAGCATCCTTTGAGGCTTTTGGCACGCATGAAAAATGTTGGCAAAGGCTCCACGCAGTTGGCACACCGTTCGTTCATGTTGCCGCCATTTCGTAGCCGCCTTTCGTTCTGTTTTAATTTTCCAGTTTTTCATTTTTAATTGTCTTAAATTCTTGCTGTTTGTGCGTTTGCATTTTTATTTATTCGTGTTTTACTTTATGCATATTTTGTACGTATTCTGCAAACATGGAGACTTCCGGCGCGCCGCCACTGCAGCAAAACTTTTTTCATTTCGGTTGCCATTCGAGGCGAGCGCGCGCTAAATAAAAATTGTTTCTCACAGGATTCGCTTTGCTGTGCACCGCTCCTCCCTGCTCTGCTACGGCATTTCTGCATATTTATGCGTTTCATTGTGTTTTTGTTTGTGTTGCCTGTCCTGCAATGAAAATGCAACAACTTTTATTGTTGCCCTTCGGCGCCTGCATTGCAAACAGCATATAATCCACAAAGACACACACAATTAAACAGTTTCCTCAGCTTTCCAAATTATGAACCCCACAACGTTGAACTAAAATCTTAAGGTTCGTGGCTAAGCAAGCATTTCAGTTTTCAAATCAAGTTGGGTCGTTCCACTCTTGACCTGTCCGTTTATTAGCTTAAGCAACTGCATATTAGAGACATGTGGACATTGGATTTCAGTTAAATTTATTCAACTATTCGCTAAACACTTAAAACAAGATTTCCGCACTATATTTTAAAGCAATTATCATTTTCTGTTCGTTCGTATCTCTTCAATAACAAATTAACATATTTGAATGGTTCCCTGCATAATAACAATTAAATAAATAAATAAATAAGTGCATACAAGTATTTGTAATACCAATCTGTGTTTTTGTCTGCAGCGCACAATGAAATTAGTTTATTTTATTTATGCGTGTAAATATGTGTGTAAATATTTATATAAGTGGAAGCTGGCTTATTTTGATTTACCATCCTTTTTCGTTTCAGGTGAAAAACCCTACAAATGCTCCTGGGAGGGCTGTGAATGGCGATTCGCACGCAGCGACGAACTGACGCGTCATTATCGCAAACACACTGGGGCCAAACCATTCAAATGCCGCAACTGCGATCGCTGCTTCTCCCGCTCGGATCATTTGGCTCTGCATATGAAGCGCCACATGTGAGGCGAGATCTAAATGGCCCTTGGCCAGATGCAAGCTATTTGATCCTACAATACATACATACTACACTACCAGCAATTGTGCCATCAAGACAGCGACATCGATGGCTGACGGGCGATGGATGGAGGGCGAAAGATGTCCCTAATTCCCACAACTGATCAAACTGGCGAAAGCAAATCAAAAACCACCACACAAGCAAATACACTTCAAGCCTTTCGATTGACATACTTCATTGGATTTATTGCGAATGCCGCTTCTGTTCAAATTCCCTTGTCCGTGTTTCAGTTTTTGTTTAGCTTTACACTTATTTATATATTTTTTAAGTAATTCTATTTGCTTAAGAGCACTCAGCAATTTGCAGAATCTTTCTTTGAAATATCACGCGCCGGTTGACATCACATCATTCTACATTTATGAGCTGGAGTTAAGAACAAAAATATTGTACAATTTACCAAAGCTAAGCAATTTTATTTAGATTTAGCAGCAACACTGAAAGGCTCACTTGGCAAACAGCAGGTGAACATGAAACATGAAACATAACTATAAATTTAAATTTGAAAAAACAAAAAATTATAAAATTATTTTTGTTTTGTTTGTAGCGCAAACAAAATATGTAACACTGCCAAAACAAAAATACAAAAAAAAAAAAAAACAAAATAAAACAAAACAAAATGAAATATATTTAAATCGAGAATGCAAAGATTTAATGAACATTAAGCTTACTTCATACTACTTACAGCAAATACAAAAACAAAAACAAGTGCAAAATATGTTTTAAACAAAAATGTAGAAGCCTAGTTTTCTTAACTTAATTTATATTGTAATTTAAATGTTGTCACTTTTATTGCAAGCTGCCTAACCGCGCAGCATTCTCCTAGGTCTGATTTCATAAGTATGTTGTATAAAGGCAAAAAATTTATTATATTATTATTTCGGTAATCAAAAGGCTAGGTTATGAATTACTGGAATTATGTGGCGCCACAATTGATTTTTAAATTAAATCACTCTGCTTTGTTTGTAACCTTGAAACAAAAGAGGATACTGATTAGTGATGAAAAGTATTACAAAATGAAAAATATGTTTTTTTCTCAACAAAATCGGTTACATTTAATTTGATAAAAATTTAAAATTTAGAATGCAGAGATCATTTTGTTTTGCATGCTTTATTTATGCATAAAAATTCTTCTTCATGTGCCTCGTTAATTATAATAAAATCATAAAACAAAAAACAAATATTTACGTAATAGGTTTTATTCATAAAAAATTGTTTATCGCTTTCCATAATTATTTGTGCTAATATTTCTTTTAGTTTTTACGAACTACTTATTTATAGTTACATTAAATCTACTTTAAAACCATTTCATTTTGTTCATAATTTGTTTAATTTTTAATTATTTTTAACGAATAAATGCTTTGTAAAGATTAACCGTTTTGCCTTCTCCCCTCATTTTATTCTTTCGATGAATTTTGACTTTCGCTTTAGCACAATAACCTCGGCTGAGATCAAAGTATACAACACGATTGAGTACATTCGAACATTAAGTATGGTTTGTGTGATGAGAAATTCTGTGATCCAGAGAGAACAACAAATAGCTAAGGAAACAAAGCAAAAACCACAAATCCGAAAGGCGCAACTATTAAAAGCAACGCACAGTACACACTCACGAACGTAGAAAGGCACTAAAAAGTTTTGTTGCATTCCATATACATACATATACTTGTATTGGGAGCAACATTTGTCAATAGCAAGAAAATACACAACCACACACAATCACACACACACACACACACACACATAAGCAGTTTCAAATTTGAAAATGATGTGTGGGTGAACAATACTCGTATATTCTTTAAATTCTAGCTTAATTCACATAGCATGTGAGATTGATGTGCTGCTTGTGCTTTCTGTAATTTCGATGTTATATAATTGTACGTAGTCCTTAATGTATATGCGCCTCTATGTATGTATATAGCTGTATCTAAACATATGTATGCATATGTAACTGTATCTGTATATCTACTTATATATGTTTGTCTGTGCAAGGCAATACTTGGTCTCATTTGAAAACAGTTTATTGATAAGTGTGCATCAAAAAGCGGCACCGGCTTCCAGTCGTATCCTTTTGCTTCCAATTTTGTAAAACTTCACAAATACATACATACATACACACAGACACATACATACACACGCAGTCACGATAATTCGCAGAAAAGAGTTGAGAATAATAAATTCTATATACATGTTTAAAACGATCAAATGAATATATAAGAGAAACCACAGAACAAATGTGTACGATGTGTCAAAAATGCTTCAATCAGCTAAGTGTAACTTTTGAGAAAAACAAAAATCCCCAGAAAATAATTATAAACAAAAAAGTATAAAAATAAGAAATATTTTGTATAGAGAACCTTTAAATTAAATCTAAACATTTACATGTATAGCTGGTAATGAACAAAAAACTGCGCCAGTACATAGATTTGTGCAGTTAGATAAGTGGGCGTAACTATGGAATTATTTTCCAATTGAAACCAAAATTGTAAGTAAAATTATTTTAATGAAGAGAAAAATTATTGTGTATTAAAATAAAAAACAAAATGAAAGACTGGTCAACGAGGTGTTCCGCGTTTATGCAAAAATTGCAACAAAAAAGTATAAAGCATTATTATAAACAACATTAAAAATTTATATTATACATACAAGTACATGCATACCATATGTAAATAGTATGAAACTACACTATCCTTCAAAGCAGCGCATACCCAAATGAGAATTTACATTCACGGGAGTGAAGCATCTAGACGGAGGTGGGGCTTGATACCTCATCCTACTCTAACATAAGCTCGTGCATTGATCCCATTGACGATTTCCTTTTGAAATTGGGCAGTCCTGTTCATTCAGCAACCACATACTGCACAGTCCTCGGTCAGGCTATGCAAAAAACAAAAAACAAAAAAAAAAACCATTCAGCTACAGCTACTATTCATACGTAAGAACACGTAATTAAAGTTAATCAAGTACGAATTTTAAGAAACGCTGAATGTGAGTCTAGAGAGTACTAAATACCAAACCTAAAAGAGCAAAGATAAACAACAAACACACACATACGGACAAACACACAGACACAGTCACACACATACTATGGAACTATGTATATATTTTAGTGTTTACGAAAACTGCAAACCTGCTGCAAATTAAAAATTCAGCTCGGTATGATTACACACGATTAAAATAGTATACAAGGCCACAACAAAACGGAGATGGAAAATCATATGAGTAGGTATGAACTATGAACATTTTCTACAGATTTACAGTTGACACAAACATTATACTATATTGTGGCAGAGCAGTAACGAAGTGGAGAGGGAGACGAAGAGATACAGAGATAGACCGAGCTCCTGCGGTCAGTAGCACAACAGTATGAACGGAAAATAAAAAGCAAAAACTGATATTAAATAGCATCCATATATATTCTTCATTTCATTTCATATCAGTTGATTTAATTTCGTTTCCTTCTTCATTTGCGAAATGTGCTTAGCAATTTATTCGATTTTCGTTAGGCAAATATAAAGTTCGCACAACTAGGTGCGTTTTAGTTAAGTGTAGTTTATTGGCACAGAGCCAAGCGTAGCAGAAATATACCAGAGTTAAACAAAAAGCAAGCATACGAAGTGGGAGAACACAATGATGAGCAGACATGAGTAATCGTTTTATATAGAAGATTAAGAGCATAAATGTAAACGTAAAATTTTGTGTATAGTTTAGTAAAATGAATTAGTTTAATGTTGAATCAACTCAAATGCAAACTACATTAAAAAAGATGCTAAAATGCGAGAACAGAATAATTAAATAATTAATGAACAAAAATCGAAATATATATATATATACATATATATGTATATGGCAAACTATTTATGTGAAAGTTGTGTGTAATTAAATGAAAAATAATAATTAAAGGTAATGAAAATAAGACATAAAAGAAGAGCATGCAAAGCATCTAAATTAAGGCACAGCATTACATTTGTAACTAAAATTTACATTCAAATTGTATTTAAATTTAAACTGAAACTGCGGGCCACTGACTGCCCAATATTGCGGCTCAATAATTTTACTGGTGACGATGAGCTGTTGGCATTCAAGTCAGTTCTGATTCAGTTAACTAGTAACGTTATGAGAATGTTGGGCCAATTCGGAAATGGGCAGCCAGCCGCATGGTTGAACAGCAGCAGCAAATGGTGATTTAAATAGATTTTTATAAAGATCTTATTTATTTTAGCTTTTTGTAAACGTAAGCTTACGCATTAAAATGGTAATTCCAATAAAATTAAATTGTAAACTTAAGACGCGACATTGATATCAAAATTCACAACTTTCGGCACAGGTAATTAAAACTCTTAAGTAAATCAAAAGCGACAAGTCCAATGGACACAGTTGCGATTGCAGTCAGTCATCAAGATACATACGGTTGTAACTTGGGACTCTTCAAACGCTTGAAGGTAACTGAAAACTTAATACACAACAAAAGAAAAAACAATGGAAAAAAACAAAAAATCAAAAAAAAAACAAACAAAAAAATTAATAAAACCTAGCTAATAGCAAATAGAAAAATCTAATTGTCAGTGTTTATTGATGTGAATTTTAATGTGTGCGTATTTTGCGCTAGTTCTTAAAGCAAACTTTTGCCCCTGGTTGGTGTGTTAAGTGTTTCACTTTGAAGCGCTTACAAGTTAATATACATAAGTACATACCCATGTATTTCATAATTAAAATCGTCGGATACGAGTTAAAACAACCACAATGCAACTGCTATAAGAGAACGCGCGCCAACCCGCTCCACATAAGTCGAAATGAATTTTGTTTGGCTTTGTTAACCGTGAATTCATTTCTGATATGCGACAGCAAACAGCAAAATGTTTAAATAAATTATTAGTTGATTAACTGCAAATTAATAGAATTTAATTCAATTAGCATATTTTTCCAATATATTCTATTACTTATTATATACAACATCAAACGTGAATTATTAATTATTATGGCTTGTTTGTTGCGGCTTTTTGTGCATTTCATTATACCAAATTTATATATGAAAGAAAAATAAATACAATTAGAGAAAAAGAACAAAAAACTGAAAAAAATAGTACGTAAAAGCTAAAAATCATGGCAAACTATTTAGATAATTGCCCAAGAAAGAGGTGCACAGTGTTGCGGGCACATGAGACGGCATTCTTGTATTTACTTAGTATTAGTTTATACAACACCCCCTCCCCTACCCAAAAAAAAAAAACAAAACAAAAAATTAAAAAACGAAAAATCAAGAACAACAAGCAGAACGTAAACAGATCAACCAGCAGAATAATTAGAACCGTTATTTTTATTCTTGTATAAGTATAA